CTCCCCCTTGGCCTTATCCTTTGTGTTTGTGCTTAGAGGGTGGTGACTCACGCTAAGCAAGGGATTCCCGTACTCGCACTTTGAGCGTATCCAATAGCAGTCATCTTTGTTAAAAAAAGCCATTCAATGTCAACTATCGCGCCCGTATAATAGATGTCGGCTATCCAAATGCCTCACTACTGCGTACCGAACAGATTAATTGGACCAGCTTAATGCAGCGATAAAGATAGCGACGACTGCAGACTCACGTTTAGGTATGGTCTTATAGTGGAGAAATGACGAAACGACAAGAGCGATGGTGGGTATATTAATAAGCGAATTTGGGAAACGAGAAATTTAACCAATGTAGAGCCTGCGCCAAGATCGTGCAGAAATTAGTAGAATTTTTTTTAAATAAGTTGTATTTTTTGAGCAACAGAATTTCTTATGCCAAAAAAATCCCGTACAATTTACTCGGCAACTTTTAGCACGTTAATCTTTGAACTTAATTAACAATTCGGGTTATCGATTTTGTTCTTTACGAAAATTCAAATGTGCCTCTTACTTATGTGATGTCATCTTCAGATAACAGGATAGACACAGAAGACGCACTCCAAGATGAAGACGAGACAGATTACGACTACAACGACGTTTTCGGGGAGGTCGGTCAGGATATTCGACAGGGTCATCAAATGACTGATATATTCGATAAAGCCGGGATCGGAACTAGTTTTTATGAGCGTTTTGTGGGTGCATTAGAGGACATTCGATATTTGATGTGTTTTTCTTCTCCTATTATCGCTCAGTATTTTACAGATGTAACGGAGTGTATGATAAAGCGCAAGGTGCGCCAATTTATGAAGCTGCTCATTGCCTATTGGTGTGTTATTCTCACAAAGTCTCTGAGACAACCGGAACCGTCTTTGACCACATTTAAATTCTCTGCAGTTATGATGGTTGTATTTGTTTTATTTTACATATATACGTTCCGTCGATTAAGTCGAAGTGAATACAAGTTTATCTCTCTGATTCTGACAGTCGGAAGTCTCTCATACACCCTTTATGAGTCATGCCGACAGGAATCCGCACTTGACGGTACTTTCACATATCCATTTTCTCTAGTCATTTCGATCATTGTTTTTCTGCCGCTAGATGTGAATTTAATTGTTCCAATATTAGTAATATTTTGTGTCATTTTTGTTAAAACATCAGCACGAAAAATGACCTATTCACAATTCAAAAGGGAACACTATATGTCCAGTGTTCAGCCTCTTTACTCCCAAGTGTACTCCTACCAGTACAGCATAATTGAGGATGGAACAAAAACATGGGCAATGTACACGGAGGAATACTGCATTATTCAAGTTGTCAGTTGGATTACAGTTATATTTGTGGGCTGCTACTTGAGATTTTGGAATGAGCTTCGTCGCCGGTCTGCGTTCTCCATTATCGGTAAATCAGTAAGGGCAAGGAATCAAATTAAAACCTCCTTGGAAAACCAAAGCGAGTGGATTACGGCCATCATGCCCCTTCAAGTCCGCGATCAGTACATTTCAATGTTGAGAGACAATAGTAAGGTAGATAAAATTTGGGTATTTTCAAAGTCATTTGATGAGGTCAGCATCCTATTTGCCGACATAGTTGGTTTCACAAAGATGAGTTCATCCAAGACGGCAACCCAGATTGTTATGCTATTGAACGATTTGTACAACAGGTTTGATGACCTGTCTATTCAAGTGAATTGTGAAAAAATAGGTACACTTGGTGACTGCTACTATGCAGTCGCTGGATGCCCTGTTGAACGTGCAGATCATGCCATGTGTTGTGTCGAATTCGGTCTGGGTATGTGTCGCATCATCAAGGTGTTTAACAAAGACAATGGCGAGGAAGTGAACATGCGCGTTGGTGTGCACACAGGGAGGGTAAATGCAGCCATAATAGGCAAAAGCCGATTTCGATACGATGTTTACTCAACAGATGTCATCATTGCCAACGAAATGGAGACTTTTGGTTTACCAGGACGTGTGCATATCTCGCATACAACGTACAAACTAGTAAAACACTTTTATCGCTTTGCAAAAGGACCTCCTGTTCCTGTTATCAAGGAACAGCAGATAGGAATGGGTGGACTTGAGCAGGTTGAAGTTGAACTCAAAACGTACTTTGTAGATCCACTTTCTTCTCTACTTAGGAAACGTGGCGAAAGTTATGGACAATCAGGAATGCCTAGTAGAATCTTGACACTTGAGAATGAAAGCGAGCCTGTTGATCCCGAAATTTCTGAGGACGAAGTCGATGATAATGAAAGGCAGTATACACAAGTTGGAGATGAGAAAATCTTGATCCCTACTTATGTAAATCACTTCTCGGAAGCAAATGAAGCGGAAAATAAAAGGTTAATTGCCTTGCGAGATATTCGTCTTGTGCAGGCGTTACATGAAGATCCCAAACACCAAGTGAAGCTCTTTCGATTCGTCCCTCTAACTTCTTTTTTGCAGCACTTTCAAGATAAATCTATCGAAAATGCCTTCGAAGACTACATGCATGGCTTCGTTCCGGTGGTCACAGTTGAGTCACCTCGTTTGGCTCCCCTCGTCGATGCGGTGTCAATTTCCCTGACCACTATGGCCCTTCTGGTCCCGCATTTGGTTCATTTAACCACTGAATCAAAATCGTACTTTTCCAAGGAGATTGTAACCTGTCTAACTGTACTCATTTTTTCATTCCTGGTTACCTTAACCTTCATATATGGTTCCTCAAAACATGCTGCTAATGTTACGTTGGAACGCACTACACATTTTAGGCCATTTTCAAGTTTCGCCTTTCGGGAGGCAGTCCTCGCTTTATTGACCTTGGTCCCGACAATTGTTTTTGTTAGCCAAGAGGATCCGGAGTCAATTGAAAGAAGTAAGGAGGCATCAAAACGCACCCTGTATTTTGAATTTGGCATGCTCTCAATTCTTATGCATTGTATGGCTACATCAAGTTTCTCTTGGGTTCGTGGGATTTGTATTAGTTTGAGTAGTATCGGCGTCTGTTCGATCTTCCTAAAAAACCGAAGTGACTTTGATTTCACGTACTGCGAGCCAATGCTGTGGTACATGTGGCTTAACATTCCCATAGAGGGTGTGAACGAACGAATGGCTTCCCTCTTTACACTGACAGCGGTTGTGTACTTTATCACCACGGAAAACGAGAGAAATCTCAGATTGTGGTACTATGTGCTTCAGGAGGCAGATTCAGCTTGTCAGACAGCTGTGAAGGAGAGTGAATCAGCTCAACAGATGCTCGACAATGTTATTCCTCGTTATATCTTTACACAGTTGGCCATGAGAGGCCATCGTAAATTGAAGGCTGGAACGTTCTGCTTTGCAACCTCCGTCCCCGATGTTGCCGTCACGTTTGCTACCTTGACTAATTTCTTCAAAAGCTACTACCGTGAAGACTACCATGGGGGTGAGAGGGCACTTGGCCTCTTGAACACGATTATATGTGCCTTCGATAATTTGCTGAAACAGCCTGAGTTTGCATGCGTCGAGAAAATCAAAACTGTCAATGATTGCTACATGGTTGCAGCAGGGTTAAATCAGCTTCAGCGTGAGGCCCAGATACCAAAGGAAAAGCATATTTACGAGCTGATTGAGTATGACTTTGCACTATGCAAGGCTTTGAATGAAATTAACGAAAAGTATATAATAGGCACTGACAAGTTTCAAATAAAGATCGGCTACTATATCGGCGATGTGACAGCAGGAATTATAGGCTCTCGTAAACCAATCTATGATATTTGGGGCAATACAGTTAACGTAGCCAGTCGAATGTATTCGACAGGAGCAGCAGGACAAATCCAAACTGTAAAGGAAGTTACTGAACGCCTGGGTAGTCGTTATAGTTACGTATACAGAGGGAACGTGTTCGTCAAAGGTAAAGGAGACATGTTAACTTATTTTGTGCATCCCAAGGGATCGCTTTCGCCCTTACAAGAATAAACAAGTGATGTAATTTAATTGCCTTTCCGTATCACTAATTTATTTTATTAAAGTATTACATATTCTGTTAAACGATTTAAAGCGGAATTGTGATTGCAATAGTAAAAATGCCTTTTTGTTGTCTAGCATCACATGACTTATAAATGAAAGATGCATTAAGGTCAAATCGTTGATAGCTTGCACATTTTGTAATTATCGGGTGGAAGTCTACATTTGAAATAGAAATGATGCGCTGAAATGTTCTTCGAGTGTTGTCGACTTGAGCAAACACTTATCGATTTGAAAACCATTCAAATTCCTGAATTTCCATAATTCTTCATTATGATGGTTGCATTGCGGTCTTTTTACCTTTTTGAGGCTTAAACTTGCCATCCAATCCAGGGTCAGGAAAATTGACTGATTATTTCACTCGCATCCCATAAATAGTTCAGGGTCGCTGAAACATCTGGCATGTAAGTGCGCAATGCCATTTTCTAGTGCTCATTGATAGAATAGACTTAAATAATCGCTTGCCACACAAACATTACTTCAACGAGCTTGTTAGCTCGTTAAGCGATCACCTGGATCTCAATCACAGGACATTACTTAACTACACAATATTAGTTAATGTCGGTTTGAGAAATACTTACCTAAGTGTATTTGACGATTTTGATGCATTTGACAGGAGTATATAAAATCAGATAATATAGTCTAACTTGTGGCAATTCAAGCGTAACCGTTGCTATGATACTTTCATCTGCTCCTCTGGCTTGACTGTTCTATTTGCTTGCTCCGTACCATTGCGGATAGAAAACAATGTGACATAACTTCAGCAAGTTGTGTTTCGTAAAATTTTTTGCCATTATCTTATGATAATTATGCATTGCTGCTTATCGTTCAGGATAACATCAGTAATGCAGGCTGATTTTGTAAGATTAGAATGAACAGAACGTTCAGTTATTCGATGGCACTGCAGAATATCCTGACCGACGTCCCCAAATACGTCATTGCAGTTTTAATTTGTCTCGTTCTCATCTTGGAGTGTGCCTTCTGTGTCTATCGTATTATTTGAAGATGAAATCAAGTAAGTAAGAGACACAGTTGAATTTTAGTAAAGAACAAAATCGATAACCCGGCTTGTTTATTTAGTTCTAGCAATTCGGACTAACATGCTGAAATTTGTTGCAGGTCACTAAATTGCAGATCAATAATATAAAGTTAATTCAGTCAGGGACTACCTGTTGCCTGAAGCACTTACGGACAGTTTGCAGCAATGGAGTAGCAGCTACTTTATGACCTTATTTATCATCAACCCTGGTGAAACCAGAGAAAGGTAGGAGATGAAAAGACAGCACAATAATGTGAGCGGAAATGTTTAATTACCTAACAGACACGATGCACTGTCCCGGGGCGTTAGTAAGCATACGTGAATATCGAGGATTGGCGGTAGAAAGGGGTCCGTTTTGATACCAATACTTTTCATGTAAATGGAAAATAACAAGCAAGTGATGGTAGTATGAGGTAAGCAGGACTTCGGGTTTTTACACGAATATCGAACAGACGAAAGCAGGTTGTTAGACGAATACTCGGAATTGGCGTGCGTGAAACACAGGCGTACAAGGAAGATGAATTTTATTCAATGGTGGCAAGTATGTGTGTCTATGTAGACGAAGGCCGTTGAATGCAACGATTACTTCTTATTGTAAATCATACTTCAGAAAGTTTCAGAGATGTTAAACACCGTCACAGGATTAATAAACATCTGTCTAGCCATTAGAAATGTCTATGGAGTGATTCTTACTGTATATTTATTTAGCTAATTTAGCAGCCAATCACAAGCTTTTGGTTTAAGTGCTAAACAGTGTAATAAAAGCTTAGTTTTGGCAAATTTGTATGCCTGATTTTTTAGGGGATGCGTGTGTATTTTATGAACAGTGCATGCCTCAACGTTAATTGATAGAATATGATGCCAATCTAGACCTTAGACCTTGATGATTTTAGCGAGTGAACCTTCAGAATTCATAAATGAAACATGACTGAGTGGAGTAGCGACAAAAAGCAGAAGATGCCTTTCAGGTTAACCTGTCAGCATTTAACTAATCCTAATCACCTTAATTGTCATAGTACAGATATGTTTGTGTTGGTGATTTCAGTTAATTCGGTCTGTACTCCTAAATTTGACTATTTTTCTCGTTTTTATTATCAATATTTTTTGGGTGAAGCTTGTTGAATTTATGTAACGTTGCATTTTTTATCTAGTTAATCGTTTTCTGCAATTATAAAATGGAATTTTAGTCTTCATAATATGGACGGACAGACGTACTTTCTCGGGCACCAAACAATTTGCTGATTATTTGAAAGAGGAATTTCACTTTAAGTAGACATATTTATTAGGCCCTAATCATATCTTTTTGTGTTATATTTTACAGATTTTTAGCTTGATATTGTGTTTAATTTTTTTAGAAAGATGTATGTGACTGAATATTTATGAGTTTGTTTGTTTTATTATTTTTCATACCAGTTTCCCTGTTTCAAGGTTAAGTCGCGTGGACTGTTCCGATGGTTCTCACGTCTTTTGCTGACATTGGGAAGCCGGGAAAGGATTTGTTCACTAAATATTTTAAATTTAGCCTTATTAACTTTGATTTTAAGTCTAAGACTGAGGATAATGTTGATCTGCACCTGCAGTGCAACGAAGTCGACAATAAATTTGTCGCAGCTTCTGACGTCACATTCAAGCCAGTGGATGGAATCTCTGTGAAAACAAAGATTGATTCTAACTGGTTGATCACAAATGACATAGAAATTGATGATAAAAAGCTGTCGATGCAGCACAATGTCATCACCAGTATTGATTATGCTCAGGGGTAAGGCTTCTTGACTCAAATGAACTATCGTGTCTAGTGCAAAGAAGCTCAAGTTAAAAAACCATTTAAAAAAAGAAAGGGTGAATGCCGAAATGGAACTCGACTTTGCCTCAAAGTACCCGGACGCAACTGCCTCCATTGTTTTCGGGTAAACAATCGTATCAGACTATTCAAATATTAGAGATAAAGGTTATGTTGCTGGTGCCCAGATTTCAATTGGTACGGATGGATTTGAATTGAAAAAGCATGTTTATTCGCTGGGGTATTGTGGGAATGAATTTGAACTGCATGGGTCGCTTTCCAACAACAAGGACTTCGAATGGCGGCTATTCCAAATCTATAAAAATATTAGTGTTGGTTGTATGCTTGGGTGGTCTGGAGGTTTACTTAATACGAAATTCGGCGTTGCTGCCATGTATCAGGTTGACAAGCAAACCTTCATTAAAGGCCGCATCGACGAATGTGGTCGTGTTGGCTTTGCGTACGGTTTCAAACCAACACCAGGTGAGCCCCTTGTTTTGCCCCTCATTAGGTTCCGGTATTTTTGCGTCAGCCTTAGTTTGGATCTCTATCAGGTTTAATAAGGTGTTATTCGTTATAACAATAGTCACTTTTTGATATGTACGCCTTTCGTTTTAGTTTCAAAGGTTTAACTCTTTATCATTTCCTGTTAGTGCTTCTTGAGCAAACCCGGCATATGCATCTGCATTTCTCTTGAAATGTCAACCTTCGCCCTACACTGATGTAGCGTTTTCAGTGAATCGATGTTCTGTTGGCTGGAACTTGTGCTAGCTACTGTGGCTCCTTGGGTGTCTGTATAAATAACGCGGCAGATGTGGTCGTTCAATTATCGTCAACTATTTTTTGTTCTTTGTTTTAGAAACTCATATGGTTGTTGCAATGGAATCTTCGGTCAACCGAAATCAGCCAGCTTCCAATTGTGGCCTCACATTTGAGATTTCCAACTAATTGTTATTTGCGGTTTTTTACTTGTGTATAAGAAATGTGGTTGCTTTTGTGCGAGCTGGCAATAGTGAGACTTATCAATAAAAATTAGGATTTATAATCCATTAGAGTATCTGAGTAGTTCATTGTCTAAATTAGAAATGTGGGAAACAAGTCTGGGAAGGACATCGAGTTCTAGCGCGGTTCCTCTTCTTAGTGCACCTTATTCGCCCGGTAGCGGGTTGGTGCGTGTCTTCATTAAAACGCGGGCAAAGCCGTTTGCTACAATTGCACCGCCATTCCTACTTTTTGATAGGTTCGCCAGTTATATTTAACAATATCAAGTTCGATGTGGTAAATCCAAGTCTCACGATCGGGAATGATATTCTCGAGAAGAGTAGTTTCTATGCTTTTGGTATAAAGTTCGTTTGGCACTAACTGGGTGTTCATTTTCTGCTTTGTTACCTTTCTCGCGAAAACATCGCCACGGGTCTCGACAACGGTAATTCGTTTACAATGTGCTGAGTCAAATGAGTTTTGGCACTGGTTACATCTTGAGAGTTCAACATTTTGTTATTTACAGAAATCAGAAGTGGGGCACCCAAGTTCGCTTGCATAACTTTTGCAGATGAACCAACGCAACCGTTTCAAGATTCGCGCACAAGGCTCGAAAAGAAAAGTGTGGCTGCGTCGTTATCGATTAGTTTGTGTTGAGCGGCCTCGTATGGTGTGCAAGCAGTCTTGATACCACACCCGATTTAGTCGGATTTCTCGACTCAACCTAGGTAACACGTTGAATATTTTTGATGTTGATGCGAATTCATGGGAAATTTTGGGAACTATGACATCATTTCGAGCAGCTCATCACACACATGAGTAATTATTTTGTGCATTTCTATTCCACACGAATTAACACATGGTCGTATCCAAACTGTTTGGTGTCGTCATGGGCAGACTTATGCTAAAATTGAGCAACTTCGATCATGGCAACAATTTTGTGCTAGAAAGTCAAGCATGAGTATCTAACAGTCTGATAGGTGTCACTACTTCCTTTTAAGAACAATGATTTTACTGTCACATTTCCAAGGCGTCGAAGGAACCGGTCGATCTATAAGCGGAACGCCAAACGAGTGGTATCAACGGTACGTGTAGGTAACTGTGACCTGATAGAGAATTTGGTTGCCTTCCCAAGCAACAATAAATACACGAAGGATTACTTGTGGCTGTCGTTTCCAGTAACGTGTCAGATATCGCTTGAAATTACGTGTGTATTTGTACGTCCACTCACGTCGAAGTTGAGGTGGCCTAGATTAAGACCACTTATCAGTATTAAAACATCTCAATTGATTACTGCTTATGTAGTCGAGTTCAAATACAGAGGTTTCTCCTGCGTTGTGACCAGAAACTCAGTAAACAAATAGTAAACTTGGATTTCGGTAATTACACCTTGGAAATACTAGGACTCCGACATATACTGTAAAGCGTTGAAGAAATCTGCCGTTGCACCACGACCTGACTATTACCAATAATGAGCTATGATTTTTTTTTTATTAATTCCCGGTTACCTGGATCCTTTAAAATGAATTACTTCAACTTGTAAGATACCTGCCGCGCTTGGTTAAAATTATGTGAACCCCATAGTTAAATCAGTAAAGCCACGGCATAAGGGTAGACAGGATTTTAAGATGTTTACTGCTTATGTATAGTCCATGCAAACATGTCCGGATATTTTCGCTGCAAAACTGTTTGTGCTCACTTTAAGTCAGGAACCTAGCATTCCTAAATCCATGCACAAATGACCTCATGGGACTCAATTTATTTACCACCAAGTTAAAACAGAAGCAAAATACATGAATCGTTGGCACTGCCACGACTCAGCGCCACGCAAGCAGGAAGGAATGCGAAGTACATAAAACCTTATGTGGAAGGTCACCAACTAAGTAAATCTTTTACCTAAATATTCTCAAAAATAAGACAACTGATATTATCCTCGCAAATTTCACAGTGGCAAATACCAAATATTTTGTGATGTAATGCACGGCTGACCGGAGTAACGGTGTTCAGTTAAAATGTAAACTGATCCTATTTACAGAGCGCTCATGTACTGCTAGCTCATTAAGGCAATTTGAAATCTTATCAAATCTACCTAACCAGCTTAGGTTACAAACTTCACAAAACTCATGGTATCTAACAATCCGTAACAATCACAGCGGTTTCAGCAGTCTTCTTTTGTCGCATAATGAAGTAGCATTTAAACCAATGGTGCTGTTATATGGGAACATAACACAGACCAAAGTTTGAAGATAGCTATTTGTTGTATTCATAGCACTTCTAAGACCAGTACATATAATAATGTAATATTAAAAAAACGTAGAAAACAGTGTTATGAAGTAAAGTCGACTGATATATTAAATTTTGCACAAGGGCCATAGCTTTTCAAATCTGAGGCGAAGCCAAAAGTAGTCCAAATTCCTAAAACACCAAAAGACTCGATCTAAGCACGAACTGTGCGCAAATTAGACAGTCAACAAGCGCAATGGGAAGTGACAAGAGAAAAATTTGAAATGTTGACTATCTTACTTACCTTTTGTAAGCGTAAATCCATAAGCACACAAACAGATTAAGTCGTGCGTCATACAAAATTTTAAGAACGACCACGAATTCGGTTTGTAGCAAGCAGCCAAAGTTATCTCAGTTGCGACCGGACGTCTAGTATCTAAGGTCGAAATGATTCCAAAATCTATTCGCGGATGCTTCCTAAACAATCCGTAAGACAGACGCTTGTCCGAGCGGCCTTTATTCATCGAAATACAGCTGAAGGCCTCAACTGCATCCGAAACGTAACCAAGCTTCAGGTCACAACGGCAACGAGTAGGTTTTTTAAGAGATACCCGCACCTGTGGACCTATAAAAAATTTGTTTTTACTATAACATTTAGTCCAATTGGCCACTGTCTCAAATTACTTGAGCAAAAAGGCGAAGCAGCCCTCCATTTTTTTACCACGTGATTCCAAGCTAAGTTCCGCATTTGCATTTTTTGAAAAGTAGCTAGTTCGTGTTCGCAAATCAGGTTCCCTAAATGGGACAACACCATTAATCCGATCCTGTACAGGTGCGATTGAAGCAGATATTTCATGATAAAAAGATTTGCTGAATAACGGAAAGCCGAAGGAGGTGGTGAATGAAGAAGGTTGAAGGAATTTGAAGGTCCACATTGATTCTTTAAATGGCGATATGAAGTACGTAGAACGGAAAACCGTTTGATTATGTTGATTATAAAGATAAAACTTGGAATTATTACAAAATGGCGGGTATGACAAGAATGAAAATAGTAAGCCCATGGAGTTGCCATGCTTGAAGTTAAGCGTAACATTTGGAGCGTCGAAATATGTGTTTTTTTCCATAAACTCCTCCACCTGGGAGCCAATTTCCGCAAATGATGAACAAAACATTTTCAAAAATTACAAATGCCAATGACCAAAAAACTCGTAATGGACAGGAGAGGCGAGATGGTATTAACACTACACTAAGCTTCCTAAATTAGAGCGGGTGTGATTGGCACGACCATATTGGTCACAATAAGCACAGCCAATCTTATAATTTTGTGAATTCGAATGGCCTGCGACGATGATCAGCAGCCAGCCAACGACATGGATGAGTTTTTCACAGACACCATTTAACACGTGATAAGTTTTGAAACCTTCTATATTTTACCTTTTCAGACTAGCCAAGTTCTTCATGTGCAGATTTAGCTAGACGAAGAAACAAAGAGTCTCCTAAGCGACGAATCCGCCGAAAAACATTCTGTCATCAGTCGTAAATATAAAACTTTGGTTGTCTACCAATTTTAAGTGCATGCGATTGGATATAAGGAGGGTGAACATCTGTACCGTTGCTTAGCCAAGTTTTCTCTTGTTCCTAGACCCGATTGCCTCTAGTAATTTACAAGTTTTAAAGTTCAGGCCATTAGGTGGGCAGGGCTGCCATGTTAAAGCCTGTTAGATGAGAAAAAAATTACTTAGATGGTTAGATAAATCGATTACGGCTGCACAAACGTTAGTTGTTGTACATAGCAGATTACATAGCACAATTTGGATCAATTTGTATCTGTAATAATAAAGAATGTTAGTATGAGTTCATTTTTTGTTATCCGCAAAATACAAACCATCTAGTAATCTCAAACAGGCCATTTTTCACGCAATTTGTTCAGATATGTGTTTAGGACTTCCGGCAATCACCGAAACATGAGCTGTTGTCTTTCAACCTATATTTGCAACAAAATCCATTTATTCTGCAACTTAAACCAGTAGATATTAATTTTTTGTCTAAAAATTGTCGCGAATTAATTTGTAGTCTCTCCTAACTTATGTAAGTCCGCCATTTTTCACAAAATCAAAATATTTGAGTCTTATTTATTTACCGACGTTGGCAGCTAACAGCCACTTAAAAACTTCAGCGATATTTTTAGGTGTTCATGACTGACGTAATGTGATAATTCTTAACTTGGCCTCACAGGTCTTTGGGTAGTAGAGAATGCGTGTTAATATTACAGACTACGTTAAAGTTGACTTTCAAACGCGATCTTAAATACCAAATATGCAATAAAGAACGATCATAGACGTTTATTTGTCATACTAAGTTCCGAAAATTAAGAAAAAACGAGAGTCGACAATAAGTACAAAATTGTACCTGAAAATAAAAAATAAAATTATTCCCCGTAGGCAGGGGTTGGTAGCGATTATTAAAAGCATTACATTAAATTAAAAAGAATTCTTGATGAATCCATTTTAGTGTATAAGGTATTAGTTGAAATCTTAATAGCATATTCTACAGTTACCTGTATCAAGAAGGCGTTTATGATACATCTACGCATAAATATGTGGGATTTTTATTGTTTCCTACTTTTTTACCAATTTTAGGCTTTTTAGCCAGTTGGTTGGTTTTAAAAGATAGAGTGTTAGTGAATAAATTTTTCGGGGGATCAAATATACACCTCTAAAATATGCTTCCTCAAAAGGGAATTTTTAAAGATCACAATAATTTAAGTTTGATGCTAGTATCGGTTAAGCGATTATTATTGCTTATGCATTAATCTGTTATCGTATTATATTCCTGATATAATATTAAAATTTATCGCCCCGGTTTGGATACTCAACCATTTTAAGACACCACTGTTCACGAAAAGCATTATTTATTGCCGTTGTTTGCAAAACTGGAGCTTTATTTAACATAATTTCGGGAATAAGTGCACAAAGTTTTGGGCATATTTTGAGATTGAGTTTTGCAATGAAAGATGAAGTTTGTAATTTAAGTCTACCACAAATGCATTTTGTATTTTTTTTATTGTCAAATTCTATAGTTTTAAAAATTTAAAAAAAAGCTTGGTAATCATGAAGTGATTCAAGATGTGCATTTTGTTTAAATAATCTACGTTACCAATTCACTTTTCGTCTGAGGATGGTATGGCGTGTGTTTGAGGTTCTCGGTTTTTTAACATCAGTTGTTCCTGTCATAATGTGAATCGCATTTTTGTGTTTTAGCCACCAAAGACATCGGCTAAAACTACCAAAAAGGATCCTAAAGTTTCGAAGCCAAAGAAAGATGGAGGTGGGAAGGCCAAGAAAAAGAAGTGGTCTAAAGGAAAGGTTAGGGATAAGCTTAACAACATGTGCTTGTTCGACCAAACTACGTACGACAAGTTTCTCAAAGAAATCCCCCAATGTCGCCTGATTACTCCTTCTTCCGTGTCCGAAAGACTGAAGATACGAGTTTCCTTGGCTCGTGCTGCTCTTAATGAGATGAAGAACCAAGGTTTGTTTTCGTGGTCCCTTCATCAATTTACCTTTTAGGAGTCCTCAGGCAGATATCTAGTCACCATGCTCAGCAGATATATGTTCGCGCCACAAAGGCTTAGCTGTGCTCGTTATCGATAAATAAATGCTTCGGGAGCTTGTGTTTTGTTTTGGTGCATCTAGCCTGGAGTGTTTATTTCGGCGCTGTTGTAGGTGTCTCAAAACCTTTGCGTGGAAACGCCAGATTTGTTTCTCGTGCCTTATGAACCTGGACACGTGATGAAATACCATCAATGGATGGAGGTAGAGGAACTACGTCGTCAGACAGGTTCAGAGGCGCTTACTTTAGAGGAGGTATCGTTCATCTTGTGTCCCTTTTTTAACATCGGAGCTCTGGGTGGGGCGGCACGTTGTGCCCGGCTCAATCTGCTCCGATAAAGCGAAATATGTGCTTCTGACATTGCATACATTATGATCTCTCGTCAGTCCCACACATTCTTTTTTGGTTGAATGGTGCACGCCCTTGACCCGGGCACTCCCCGCAGGTACACTCGGTGTAATTTGATGTACATTCGTATGTAGCACGACTTGGGTTAAGCTTTGAAAATAAATTTTGATTTTTCACGCGTAACGTGATGGGTCTGGAAGCCTAGCCTGCTGGCATGTAGAGAGGTTCCACATTTTACACGTGCTTTAAGCTGCGTTGGAGGGCGTTTTGGGCTGGCGTCCAATCACTTCAGCAGCAGGTGAGGCCATCAAATCCTTCGGGGTCTTCGGTAGTTCCTCTACATAGTTTCAAATTTCGAAACCCAGAGCAACCGGCTCGATCGTCGCGATTTGGGTTTTTGGGGTAATTGTATTTACCCAGTGGTCACTGCGCACAAAAGTGCAATTTAGTATGTGTGTCAACGTTTGTTCGATTTCACCAGCTCGGAACATCACATTCACGGCTTAGTTACAACCGTACGTTGTCAAAACGTCTGCATTATTGTAGTCAAGATTGTTGTCACCTGCCAGATGCTCTGGTAGAGTGGCGTAAAATAAAGCAGTGTCCCTGTTGGGCGCCATGGTGGCTCCACCGCTGGTTATTGATTTTACACTTCATCTGTGGGGTTCCACCTTGAAAAATAAACTTGAATTGAGGAGGTGGCTTTATCTTTTAATTAGGAATACCAGCAGCAGCGATTCTGGTTGGAGAAGGGTGATAGAGTCACTTTCATCCTGTTAGAGAAGTCGAGATTCCCAAACCACAACTGTGACTCCTGCAATTTGCCACTTACTGGTGATTGTGGCTCGGCGGCCTCGTCGTTTGCAGGGGTTACCCGCGTCTCCAAGGTCTGTGAGGCCGAAGTTGCAGCTATGATTGGGGATGTCAACTTTTACTTGATCCCTGATCCAGAATTTGAGTTTTCTGAAGAAATTTATGATGGTTCGTCTGATAATCTGCTTTTTCACAACTGTGTGGCTCAGACTTATTTTGCTCTTACTATCGAGCTGAAGCTTCAGATTAAGGAAATCAATCTCAACACCATTTGGCGATTCGCTTTCCCCCACATCTGTCAGAGGGTTAATTCTGGGATGATTTTTTAATGTTTAGGTTCTGTCCCTGGGTGTAATAAAATAGTGCGTATATAGAGTTATTGAAGTTCTATTTTAGAGAAATAGACTGCATTTTAGAAAAAATCGAGGATGACATTGAGAATGGAGATAGGCTAGCAGAGCATTGTATGAGCAAATTCCTTAAAATACTTGCTTTAACCTCTGTAGTTGGAGTCATGAGCTTCAGTTGTTGTAGAAGGACTAAGGCGTAATCCTCGTTTTTATTAATGCGCCAGGACATTATACATTTGCCGCTTAAGTAGTGCCTATCTGTGAGTAGCTACTGCAACAGTGGTCAATGGAAATTTAGGCTCAATCGTTTCCCTCGGATAGTTGCGAAACTGAATTACACTATTTATACATGATTGGAAATTAGATTAAGCTACCATTATATAACGCTTTTTTGGTTGATTTTACTGACAGAAGGTTACTTAGGAGGCCTAAATTGTTTTCAATATCGGCTTATTGAGGAAACCTTGGAGTAAAATTTAGCGTGTGACTTTGGTATCTAATGTGTGGGTGTCTAGTGAGTTTGTGTTGAACATCGGCCGCTTTGGCACACTTTTAAAGAACCAATCGCTTTTCTAATTTCAGGTGAAGTCTCTGTTATGATAGCAGAACCGTCGTCTCGAGGTAAAGGTTTGGCCTCTCAGGCCCTAGCTGGGATTCTACTTTATGTTCAACGTTTTTTTGCGAATCGTGTAGTTGCTATTGTGGCAAAAGTCTCCCTTGATAATATTCCAAGTTTAAAGTTCTTTAAAAATAAACTTGGCTTTGTCGAACGGAAACACAACTTATGCTTCAATGAGGTACGCTGACGCTTATTTTAAAGGCTTATATAAATTTTGATCTTTCAGTATATCATGTTGCATGCATTTTAGGTCGAGCTTGTCTGTCCCAAACCTCCAAATGATGAATCTGCCATCTCTTTTGCCGCATCTCAAGCCATTATGTCTTTTCAGAACTCTAATAGATCGTGGTCCTTTCTTATTCATCCTGTCACCGAGTGGAGAGCGCGCTTATTCCACGGCCACGACGCTCAAGATGAGGGTAAAAAATGACTACTGTCATTGTATTTTGTTCATCACCATTATCACTACCCGACACGCTAAGCCAGTTAGATTTTTAAACCTAGTACTCCGAGCTGCCAAGCGTCGATACATGAAGTTATGTACATAAAATCTATTAATGCCCAGTCGTCTAGTTACCTTTTGCTGGCTGAATGGCTTGCTGGATCAGTATTTCAAGCACCCCCAATTTACAAACCTCATTGTTGTTCTGCGGAGGCGTCCACAATTGGGCTCAAGCTGGACTTGTCGCTTAAGAATTCAAAAACTTGTTCCACCTTGGCTTTTTTTTGAGTTACAAGCAACCATCTCCCTATTTCCAATGGTGCAAACCTTGACTTCCCGTTGGTTTGATCAATGGACGCAAAGGAAAGCAGAGGTCCTCACACCAATCAAATTACGAATTATTTTGTGTACAATTGAAGGCAGAACCAACAAGTGGTTTCTAAGGTCACAAAGGGGGTTGGGCTGTCATGAAATGGAACACGTGCATTTTCGCACTAGTCGAATGGGAAGTTCTCAATCGCCGTCTTCACGTAGTCGCGTGCAATCGTGCGAATGTGAAGCGTTACTCGGCCCCTTTACTCTGAGTCCACTGGCAGAAAATTGGCGTTGTTGATACTGGGGGCTGGACGACGATTGTCGTTGTTCTGTGATATCTGTAATGAGGTTTAGCGACTCCTCAGAGACGCGTGATGTCTCCTCATCCATGACTAAACTGCCTCGCAAACCTTTCGATCCAGTTGCTGACCTGAACGTACTCCGGTCACCATCACCGGTCCCGCCCCGCGCGCTGCCGCCTGCACCTGCGTTGCTAAGCGTACTAATGTCACCTTGGTAACCAGAGGTACAGTCGCCGACCCCGCTGCCGTGATGTTTTTTGTGGAAAGGCTGTAGCGAAAATCTAAAGATATCAGAAAAGTGGAGCTTGTGGGGAATGGTTGCTGAGGCGCAGACTTAGTGTAATGACATTGCCTGCACACTACTTTGAAAATAGTCACAGTTGCTGGGGGGAGAGAAGCGGAATTTTCACCTGTCTAGTGTAACAACAAGTCAGCAAAGATTTGAAAGTCGGGGGAGTATTGGTGACCAAACCCTTCTAGTTTGCACCATCGATAACATTGACATGATGTAAAACCAGGGACTTTCATGAATGGCGAGTTGCAATTCAAACTACAGGTAGATAAGCAAGCCGTGGGAATAGTACAGTTGTCCACGCGGTAGATGCCTAATAGCCGAACAGGTTGCTTTGAAATATCGTTGAATTATAATAGTAGTCGGTTGTCCCAATTAGTAGTATTTTGAAGTTGGCATTCTGATAGTATTTTATTGTACTTTAGATTCGTAAAGGGATAATAGTCTGCTCCAACTTACCTACGCTGTTTACGACCGCCACGCCGTTTACTGATGTGAGGGTTGTCCCGGCGCATTGCTTTGGTTTTAAAGATCTCTATTGCAGTATACAATCGCTTTAGTTCTCGCTAAAAAGGTTTTAGATTGAATCGAAAATTGAATCAAGCACACATCGTTAATCATCTAATTTATGAAAGACTATTTGAGGGAAGTGAAGTTTAAAGTCGTACAGATGTGCAACATCACTTTTTCAAGTATATTTCATCTAGTGTAGACAAGGTAATCGATCAAGAGTTAAGTTAATGTGTACCTAGTAGGAAGTTAACGTTTAGTAGTTAAACGAATGAATCGTTTAAAGACTGAAATTTCAAATATTTACCAAATCGCGAATTGGCAGGATTTGCGAACTTTGAACAACCTGCCAAAAAATTGCGTACTCGCATAGTCCGCTACACTAAGACACCGGCCCTGGCCGGTGAAGCGACAGTGACACTTGTCTTCACACACCAATTTCACTCATTTTGGGACTTCGCTTTACAACGTTTCAAGGTCATTGTAGTCTTCATAAACGGTAATCAGTAAGTACTAGCGCTTATTCGGTTAGATGTAATATTGAATCGCCTTTTGTAGGTATAAAATATGTCAATGTCAGTGGGCTATAATCAGTGACTAGGGTACGAAAAGTACATTCAAATCTGAATTTCCAGGTCAACCGAGGATGGGTTTCAACGCTGCAAATAAATGACAGCCTTTTTAGTGGCGGGGTTAGCGCAAAATTGGAACCTCAAAATTGCCAACAACAGAAATGTGAGGCGACACCCACTAACTGCTGCGGTTCATTTTGCTCCTCAGCTTTCACAAGACTGGCTAAACATTTTTATGAATTTTGACGCGCAAGTTTGCATAAATGTTCCTGATGCTCACGCAGACCCACTTGTAGGTGACGCCAATGGGTAGTTTGTTGGTGGGTCCCATTCCACGTGTAGAACAGAATACGTTATTTGGATCCGTTATAACGTCCCATCTAAGAGCTTATCCAAGTTCAGTGTTGCGAAAGATTAACAATGTTATTGTGGCTGTGTGCATTTGGATTATTGCAAAATGCGACAGGAAAATATGAAAGCTATGAAATGTAACCTATGAGTTTTTATGAATAAGTAAAAAACAAAATTTCGCCATTGAAGCCGTTTTCCTAAAGTTTGATGGAAAAGTTGGCCGAAAGCACGATTGGATGATGTGAATATCTATCAAGGAAAGATGTTTAGGAGTTTAGGTCGGTTGAGAGTCTGGACCAAGGAGAGTCACTCGAGGACCAGGGAATCTGAAGGATTGTTCTCTGGTTAGGGCATAATTGTTGGTCTCCTATCGGCTAAAGATTCGTACCTAAGCTTTTGTTTGAATGGTTAAGAACGGAGTTTTTCTGTTCAAGCTCAATAACGATCTAGCCAGTGTGTGCGTCTTCCGAAAAATGTGGTCGTGACAAGTTTTATGACTGAGAAGACTAGTGGGTGGCCTTGCCTGGGATCCATTGTTAGACAGAGTCGCTGTGTTAAAGAAGTTAGCTTAAAGCTCCCAATGTAACCCCGCACTCTTTCCCATTGTGACTGTGGAGTGTGGGAGTTACCTTGACATTGGAAATTTTTTACCATGCTTTTCGACTAAAGGCAGCAGACTTGCTAAAATATGGTTCATTCCTAAAATTCGGGTGAGGTTTTTGAAAAGATTTGGCTCGAATTTGGTTCCTCGACTTATAATTACGGTGAAAGGTGACCTTCCGTAACGACGCTATTCATAAGGTAACTGAAACTATTGAAGCATTGCAATGCTTGGACGATATTGACGTGCAAGTTGTTAAAATGGGAATCTGAAACATCAAATTGTGTTAATAGTACTTCGCTATGCCGATCACAACGTACATTTGGCAGTTTGTTTAACTTGTTATTTACTACGATGCGTCTTAATTCACGGCGAGGAACACTAAATGTTATGAGACCGACTTCCTTGTTGCCAGACAGCGAAGAGATTGAAATAGTTGATGTAGGAAATCGAAAAGGAGAGATTTTACCCATAATTTGAAATGCCGTTGACTATGGCATGGGTTGATATAAGCAATCTAATCTCGACTAACTTTGATGCTATCGTGCTTATAAGACTTTTGCAGTTCTGTGTCTGATTTTTTATCAGTAGCCAAATCATCTATACAGACACAACCGATGTGCTCACGAGAAGGATTCTGAATCAGTGTATTCCTCGCATATTATGCGGTGAGAGCGTATTGGAACTCCACTGACTGATAACGTTGAGCGTCTTGTAGTCGATGCAGATTATAGGCCAGTTTATAAAACCCGAATTGGTGTTCTTCGTGTTTAATGAGGCAGTGGTTCATATCCATTTGCAATCTAGGTCAAAAATGCTACACAGGTCATGTACTAGGAGTAAATTAGAACCTTTAATACCTCTGAACGCCTAGTTACTTTTAACGTTTAATAAACGACTCAGAGTTCTTGTCATCTTCAGTGCAGACACAAAAATGATGTCACATTGGGTGACAAAATTAAAGTAATTGTGCGATAAAAGATAACATGACTCCCTTGTTTTAAAAACAGTAACCTACGCGAATAACTTCGGGGTCCATGTCAGCAAGATTGACATCAGCGAGATCAAGTTCCCCATTGGAAGCCAAACGGAGTTTATTATTGCAGGGAACCAAATGTGGTGCAGCAGATGCTCCAGGAACGGCACCTACCATACCGCGTCTACCACCCACAACTCCTACAACCATACCCCCTACCTGTGGGGAGGGTGGTTTGTGTAGGTACCAGAACTAAAACGTTACGTGGAGATAGCATTATGCAATAGAATATGTGTCATTAAATTGATCAGAAATTATCTTAAAAGTGTCAAAATGAGGATTTAGTCATAGACTTTCCAATCCCTCATCATAAATCTGAATAAATTTATAGGAAATTTTTCCGAGATGACAAATTTACATTTTATCGCAAGCGATTGTAGGGAAAATAACAAAATATTCTGTTAATTTTAAAGACGTCTTAGTTTTGATGAACTACGACAGCCAAATTCACTGGCAAATGGTTAAAAAGCTTATGTTAAATTGATACATTGAGTGACAAAGGTATAGGAAGTTAATAATGGCCTTTGAATGATTGGGTATTCCACCAAAAACTACCTTGAGTGTTGCCAGGATTCCAAATTTACATTTCTGTTTTTGTAACGACAAGCCTCAAACTCCGAACTCAGCCCTTTAAAGTAGTCCTACGTTAGCTAGCAAAGTTAGTAACGAAGAATATGACGTAGGCCGCTATACTGAGTAAGCGTGTGGCTACCTTACCTTAATTTTTCTGAATGTTTTACACAGCCATAACATGCCCGTATTCAAACTAATGAACTGTAGAAAGTGAATCCTTAATAAACAAACAAAGTATATTAAAGGATCCCGGCAAGGCATGTTGTTGTACAATTAATAAGACCGCTCAAATAATCGAGGCTGATGTCTGATGTGCACTGGTGTTAGAGAGTGGATGATGATTCAGACGACTACCTAATTCGGCGCTTTAAGGCTACAAGTTACACCCTGGAGAATTAAGGCAACGTCCAGATACCAGACTATGAAACACGTGTAGTATATGCGAAAGCTGATTAAGTGATTCAACCAGCTGCAATTTCAGGAAGTGTTGAGATATTATCTATCTAAAGTGGATTAAGCCATAAGCATGACAACAGGTGGCCAAGAAGGAGACGTGGAGGTATCAAAAACTCATGTACTAGTATGACGATGGCGTAAAAAACGTTCAAATCGCAGAAGTAACAAAATAATTTGGTGTTTCCAGATTACCATTGTTGTGTGGTCACAATAAAGACACCTCGAGAATTTTGCCTAATTACTGTACAGCAAGACAAAGCAGATTTTTGGGATTCATGAAACGTATTTGGAGTTTCGCACTTTAGCGGTGTGGTTTGGTTTCATCTTAAGACGTGGTAATCTCAAGATATTGAAATATGTGATATTTAACCGATTGTATTTGAAAGACCTTAAATTATCATATATCTTCGCATATTGTAGGAAGATCATACGACCACATGGCATGGATCATGTAGGACAAACCTGCATCATTAATTGGCCTCTTAATGATCCCTTAAATAAACCCGAATTAGCAACTAATGAATGCTGAGAATGTGCGAAAATGTAAGAGGGAGCATTTAAAGTTTTCGGGTAACAAGCACAGTTGGTCAGCGAGGACAAGTCTTCACAACTCATCGTTTGTCATGCCATTAAGTTAATTGTTGAGTGATTTATCTAAGACGGTATGAACGAGAAGACGGAGTTTGATACGCGACCGTTTGAGCTTGTATGCCATCATACGACATAAATCTGCCAAGACATCCGATTTTTCAAATACCCGTCACAGTCACTTGGGTTCTACATCCATCTAACCACCAATATGGAGTAATTATCAGCTTTTCTTTAGCTGCGTGGTCTGACAAACTCTCTGGTACTTTGCTCATTCTTCCAACTACTAAAAAATCAAAAACACGGGTCCTACTCTTATTGCTCAACTTATGCCACAACAGGCCGTAGCGCCTGATAAGAGTTTGAGTAAGTTCTAGGGAGACTTCACCTACAACATGTCGGCCAGCTGTGGGTTCGAACGATCACAACGGCACTTGAGGGTATCTCTAGTAGCTAGGAGCCGCTGCATCACATGGATCCTCCAAATGTACTACAACGAAATTAGATGCCTAATTAATTTCTCTATCCTGTACTTGAAATTGCCAATGCCGATGGCTAAAGGTGGTAGTTAGATTGGAGTTGTCTATGCAGACGGCCAAACCATGTAACAAAAATCTACTAGCATGACAATCCTTGTAGAAACAAACGAGGACCAGTGTGTACGGAAATCTACCACCAATATACACAATTCATTATTAATTATATAAGCCACGACCTCAGTGACGCTACTTGTCTTCAGAATCCTCGGGGGAAAGTGGCAATTGAAAAGTAACCTATCACGAGAGATATTGTGCTGCGAAAATTTATATTGGAAAGGGAAGAACGTGAATATGCATGAACACTTTCCTACAAAGAGCAAATTGGAACTTTTGATGTGGAAGACTATTCCTACCGTGATGTCAGTCTTGTTCCAATCATTTCAAAGCCCATACGTAACAGGATGGTTTAGGTCGTCCATTATAAAATGTTCCACACTTCACGTTGAGACTCAGCGGAATGAACGCATGAAAAGGCTATAGCCAAAGAGTGAGTTGATCATCCAATGGTCTAATTTATCATGTGAACAAATATGAACTAGTTGTGGTTGGAAATGCTGATGGCATACGTGTTTACCTGGGAAGTGTGAAAGTTGTTTGATTTAGATAAAACTTATGTTCAGAGAGTTACTGAATTTCGCCTGGTGTTACTTTACATCAACGCAGTGATAAATTAATATCATATACAAACAGTTTTTGAAACGTCGAGTACTTTACTATAGCCAATATGTATTTAGATGCTTCCAGATGATGCTCTCACCCATAAATCAAAATGCCTAAGCAGTAGACAATAGGCACCAAGTTTACACAACCCGAACATTACATGAATGAAGCGTGCCGTTACCTCAGACCTCTGATCCAAAGGTGCTTGAAATCACCTTTGGAATTTTGAAGACCAACGATATTTGGACTAATCACATTACGTCCTTTAAGAGTTAAATTTCATTGACTCACCGCACTTGTTAGAAGAAATTATCGTTTCATCAACACTGACATCTGAAAGAGGAGCTCGGATGAAATTGGTGTCATTGAATTTAGGAGTGCTTAAACTAGCTATTCAGGGGTCGGAAACACGATGGTTTTGAATTTTCAAGTTTTTATAAACTGTAACGCATCGTCTAATGAATGAGTCAATATCCTGCAACATACCACATTCCTGCAAGTCAAAAAGTGACTACTTACAAAGGTATTTCCGCATATAGCTGCTTTCCACAACCGCACTCAAAATTGTCCCACAAAAAACCCTATTTTATGTCATTAATTCGTGGATAGGCAGAGGCGAGTATTTAGGTGATTAGATTAGTTTGTTCATTTGTGAATTTTGGCCCACGTCGTAGATAAATGCCAGCTCACTATACTGGGTTGAACAAGTAGTAGGCCTCCGATTAGAAAATATTGCAGACGTTATAGGGCAGTGCAGCACCAAAATTTACGTAGCCAAACTTCCATTTAGTAGACCCCATACACTGCTCTGAATGCGTATGACGCCATTGAACTAGAAGACCTCGTCATGCGAAATATCGACTTGGTCAGGTTGTAGTGGACAGAAGGCCACCTCTCGTGAGTGACGCGTGCACGCTGTCCCGACCGTACCAGTGACACCCTATTTGTTATTGCCTCCTATTAGCAGCCGCCCGTTACGCACGCGTACTCATGCGCACACAAAGCCACTTGGCTGGTGTGACACCAATAAACCAGTCGTGTCGTGTCTCCCCTCTTTTCGGGTTGTGACGGCCTGTTAACTAGAGGGTTGTAAGGTAGCGCTAAACTTCAGCCACTGCAAGGTGTTGGTTGTAGGGGCATCGTGTTAAGCCTTTGACACAACGATTTCAGGACAAAAGAAAAACGTACCTTCAAGCCAAAGATGACGCCAATATTTACCGATACCGTAAGATGACACCTCACAAAGTAGATAAGGAATATTACATCTGGGTGTGTGGAATACCAAATGAAGGGTCTAACAAAAGAAAAAAAATTGATGAACATGGTGTCAGAATTACCGATAATAAATATAGGCCGTAAGTTAAGGCATCTAAAGAATTGAATTGAATGCTAAATAGTAGCTTATGTAAGTAGTCGGAACAAAGTTACCTGATTAGATAGAGGATTCCAGAACCGACCAGCTCAGCCAAAAGGGCGACCGTAATACATCTATTTTCGTTGTAATCTGACGGTGCAGACCAAATAAGTCGACAGTAATGTACTCCCACGAGAAGAATGGCTATTTCACCTAATGTAATAAAGTAATTAATTTTTTTGGTTTACTATTTACAAGTGTGAACCAGCGGACAATTTTTGGGGATGTGTGAAACGATTTAGATCAACACCAAATAAATTGCTGTTTTTGGTGTTAAGAGCAGCATCAAATCGCCATTACTCGTTTAGGACCTTCTTAACCAACATTTCATGTCAAATAGCGTTCTCCACAAAATTGCGATAGAGGATCGTAAATGAAGTGAAGCTCTATGACCTATTACATTCTCAAACGATGGCGATGTCAGATTCCAATACATCAGCAAAAGTAACAGAGGAATGACAGAATAAATCGATCAATCAAAAGCTTCAGCTATCTACAGCATGTATAGTGATACAGCTTGTTGCGGCGACATATACCACTAAATACTCAACAAGGACGAAGTCTGCGGAAGGAGAGTCAACAGTTTATTCAAGGACTTGACGAGGTCGTCGTGTGTGTGTGTGCACAAGATAGCAAATATGTTTATATAGCCTTACTAAACATCGTCCCTGAACGAACATAGGTGAAGTGCATTCACGTAAGTCAATTGAATCGTGCTCGGTCGCTATTGCTAAATAAGTTCGCTTGCTGCTCGCCACAAGCTCATTCTATTTAAGAAGGTGCAGCAGCGACAACTTTTGACTTATACGAGGTCAGATTCGACAAATTAAGCTTAGCGTAGGATAACGCAGATGATCAGCCGATTCTTAGCGTCAGGTTACCAAATTTGGAAATTTAAGTTAAATTGAGATAGACGTGGAGAAGGGAACGACGTGGTTGGAGCATGAGTTGCACATCTTGGGTCAAAATTGTGAAAAATTGGCCAATATTTAAACACAGAAAATGTAAGTAACGGAAAGTTAGGTGTTCATTGACATTCAAAAGTTCACTTTCAGCAAGAAATTATATAAATAAATTGACGAAGTACCATTCAATTGAAAAGCTATTTAACCAGTTCCTCTGATTTGTTTGTTTTTTAATGTCAACCTCGTTATCTTTGAAATTGATAAATGCAATAAAGCGTCTGTATGTTCTTTCACAAAATGATCCTGTAAGTATTTTAGAGTCTCATAATATATTTTGCAGAAGTAATTTAAATTAGCAGAAAATGAGTTGAATGAATGCTACTAGGTATACTATTTGAGAAAAAAATATATGCAGAAGGAGTGCAAATTAATAATAGTTTCGTAAAATGGGAGAATAAACGAGTATCAGTTATCGTTTAAATCTATAACTGATTCGTATGCCTCGTTATCGAATACAACTGAAACAACCGCAATGAAGCCCCTAGGTATTCCAATTCCCTAGACACGAAGACAGTATAAGGTTATTTTCACAAATATAATACAATAAGGAATTAAAAAAAGAATGATGGATTCTTCCCAGCTCGCAATTGCAAAGACTATTTGCAGTGTTGCGTTATCAAATAAATGTAACCTGGTGGAAAATAGAAGAACTAGTCAATTCAATCTGTTAGTGGACACAATGGAAAAATAAAACCCCACTCGTGGGGTGTTTTATTGAAGACGTATGAAAACACAAAAAGTGGCCATCAAAAGGTCATAATTGGGATGAAAAAAATTTAAAAATTGAAACAGTTTGTATATTTACTTTTTTTCCATTTTAGATAAGTAATACTATGCGGATGCGGTCACTGCTCAGAGGAAGTAAAATCAACCCAAAACGAAATGTGAATTTAAGCGCTGGATGATTTACGGTGGTGAGTCACCGGTTTTTCGTGGTGATTTCATACTAATCAGTGCTGGACATGTCGATGCAATGAAGTCCGTTCGCTTGATGGCTAGCGATGTGCCTCGTTCTCTGTGTGAAGGGAATCTTCAATTCAATGACGCAACCATTCTATTAGTTTCGTCAATTCCCCACACCAACCCCGGACCTCAGTCAAATGAAACAACGTAAAGCAACGACTTCAAATAAAAAATCTTGGAAGTAAAGAATGTTGCCTTTTACAGGAAAGTTTTTATGATTACCATAACGCACATACTAAGGAACATTACGTTTCCTTCTGAGAACCTTTAGTCTGCATTGGGTCATGGAAAATCTATTTTCATCTATGTCCAGCCGTTTGCGGATACAAACTGATCAATTTGAAAATTTGACAGATTACTTAAGTTGCGCATTTATCATGGTCATTATGCCTCTTTTGGAAACTTAATTGTACAATTACCACACAGATAACGTGACAGTAAGCATTTGTTTTTGGGAAAGCTATCTTATTTGCTCTCAAAAAATGCAATAAAAAAATTTTCACTGACAATTATTACTTTTTACGTTTGATAAGTTGAAGGCTGTATGCCTGTGTAATGAGAATTAAGTCAGATAAATGGGTGTTTCAACTTATTCGCCGATTTCAAAATATGTTTCAGTACAGTCATTATGTGTTAATTAGCTGCCAACGATGTTATGCAGTAATTAGTTCCTGCACATTAAAATTGACACGTTTAGTACTGACATGAATACGGCTGCAGACTCGATGAAGGGAGACATTATCCTTTGTATGGGACTGCAATTTAAATAGCATTTAAAGCAGTTTCTGGAAATCGCTATGCTCCAAGTATAAAAGACGTGTGGAAAACACTAAACACGCTAAAACTACTGAAAAAAATTTAACTAGAACAATGTCCGTTGCTACTGGTAAGAATTATATGCACGGAAAACTGACAAGATCCGTGGCACTTTACACAAAAAACCTTCACAACAAAGGACTTTAGTGATTAGTGTAACAGTAATCTTGCTGATGGCCTAAGTTTTTTGTAAATTTTTATTATTTACTTCGACATCAACTGGTTGTTACTGACAGTTTCGTTTTAACCCAAAATATTCACACCTTCTTCGGTCTAGAAATTGGGTATTTGAAGTCCTATTGTGTTACCGTTACACTTTAAGAGAGTTAAGCATGCGTTTGAAACAAGAAAGACAACGTGGCTGAGACGTGATAAAATGAGATTTGGCTTGTGAGCAATGAGGACGCCTGTCTCGAATGATCGTGTTCGCAGGAGATGACTTCACAGCTGGGCTATAAAGCGGTGTGATTGACACAATCTCTGAAATTGCGCCCATTTTGTAGGTCTAGAAATGGAGTTAGTCTTGGACAATTGAGAAGCACATTAGCAGTAATTACCTACGATGGATCCAGAATTTTTTTAAAAAATAATTCTTATGTAAGGAGGAAACAGTCTTCACCATTACAAGGACTTGGGGCATAAAACAACTCGAAATACGCCGAGTAGCATTTGTATTATATCAGTCTTGATTTTTCTTGTGTTTTAATTCCGATTCTTGCATTAGTTGTCTACAGAGGTGTGTATATTTGTTATATACGTTAACAATCTAACATTTTTCACTTATTCTGTTATTGCAATATTTGTTGCTTAGCATAACACGTATACTTTGTAGAACGTTACCAATAATCTTTCCCTCTTTACATGCCTAGTCGTCAAGTTTATTTCAACCTTAAATGTATACACCAGATTGGAAGTAAAATTAACTCCGATTGAAATAAAACCCACAAATAAGGAAGCATATTAACAGCGAAGTCCTACAGTGGATCTAAAATTTAAAGAAATAACCATCTAGGAAGGTAACATTCGTCTCCATTAAAGCATTCCGGTCGTAAAATATCGCGAAGTAAATACTACTAAAGATTGTTTAAAAGTATACACAAAAAGGCTTCGGGGTCGTCGGTCTAAGAAAAAGGCTGTGCCTTAATCAAATATTTGAGAGACGTATGCGTTATTTGAGCGCCGGAATGGTCGAAATGTCCTAATTGGCCAAGACAATAGCAACAACGAAAATTTATTGGCTTAAGCAGAACGGTGGAATCCCCCACATTTTAGACCCAATATTCATCGATTTTCCAGCTCCGGTGACGATTAGACAGCTGGAGATGGTAAACAATGAAACTCATTAATATGGAGTTAATTTACTAGCATTTAGGAATTTAATAAACGGTCGTTTGAATTTGATCTGAAGGCAAAGCTCGTGACCACCACATTAATTTTGACACCAAATTGATCGTCATCGCAGCCTTCGGGTACTTTAAAAAGGTGCACACGTAAACCCATTCACAAATGCGACCATTTTTCATGGAGCCCATATGTGATTTCGTAAATACATGAATTTTGCACAAAACCAATCACAGGCAACCCTTTTAGAACTTGGCAATTGTCATCGTATTATTGGTATACAGTCTCGTATTGGTGATTATTAATTGTCCGAGCCTTGATTGATTGTTACCGACTCCGCAGAATGTAAAAAGTAAGGTGGAACGCGGGTCGGGCCTTTAAATTACTTTGTTAAATGTATTACACTAATTGATGTTTCTCGTGCATACAATACATGTGAAAACTATAAAGTAGCCCGAGATGCCTTCGTTTTTGATTTATCTAAACTCTACGGGCATAGTAGGCAAGTAGGATAAGAGTTTAGAACAACATCCAAAACTGAAATATGATAACTTGACCCTGTGCCACAATTTTCACATGTTAGCCATCTCAAGATAGAAAATCGTGAGTACAAGTACAAATTTGCGGCATTTCGCAATTGCGTATTTACGAGGGGAGTTTTATTTTAGAAAACTTGACCATCTGCTAAGTTCTAAATCTTGGCCCTTACAGAAAGTTTTCTATTTAAGCCACTTCTGCTGACTGCCAATTTTTAGAATTCTGATGGCAGTCCACACCTCCAAGGTTAATCCTGAAACGTTTATAAAGCACTAGCTTTGAGTTGCAAAAGGACAAACTCACCGAGCTGTACCACAATATCCCAAGACATGGCGCGGCATACACGAAAGTACTGATAATGCACATTGGGTGTCGCCATCTGCGTTGTCAAGGTGCGATTTGACATCACAGAAGTATTTGGCAGAACCGATGAATTGATGGAAGCTAATACTAAGGATGGAGACTTAAACGTTGGTGTAGGTGTAATCACAGTTCGAACACGTCCTTTCACCAAGATGTCGTCATAGCCAGGTTGTGATACAGGAGCCGAACCGGGTGAACTTGTTTGCATGGGAAAACCGACAAGATTTCGGAGACCTGTGTAATCTAGACTGACTGCTGTCCAAGCGAACATGTAGCCAGCCACGATGGCAATGAAACAGCCAAGGTACTTGAAAAGATCTTTGTCTCGCACGTGGACCCGATGAGCCTTTCGAGACTGGAAGCACAGCAGCACTCTATCAAGAGAGAAAGCACGTGCCTAAGAAATTTGTTCACAAAATTATAAAAGATGAGAAAAGCCATTTTTGTATCGTGCACAACGTAATTTTTGTTATAAAATGACGTACTTTTCAAGGTCTAAAAATCTATTAATAAATGCACTGGTTTGTCTTTAACAAATAGTTTTCTCGGCTAACTAGTTAATTGAATGAATTCACTAATGTGTTTCGAAACGTTTTTCATTTTTATTTACGGTGTAGATTAACACCCATTTTACTGCAAACTGTATTTTCTGGGCTTGGGAAAGCAGGCAAGCTTGACAGTGGTCCTCAGGTTCCTCGTTCTTTACTTTATTTTCATCCTAGTTTTACCTACCTTTAATTAGCCCAATCTCCGCTTCATGAACATGGTGCATTTCAAAATTTCTGCCTTTATTACAAAACAGCAATGTTAAACGTAGAATGGGTAAAACTTTTCGAATCTTACTGTGGTCTTAGGCTGGCATTCACAAACCAATTATTTTTACAACATAACATGAAATCAAAATCAACATGAAATAGTTTTCATCTGCGATTTTTTTAGAAGAAACGTGGAACCACAAAGTCGGTCACAGACACATGACTTACCGATACAACTTGACGATGAGAACACCATACATTAGAGCAAATCCAACTTCACGAAACCATGGCACCAGGATACAAGTTGAACTGCTCGCTCGGAAGTACATTACAATGGTCTGAAACGCAAGTGATATATTTCGGACATTAAAGATGTGTGATATTGCGTAACGGCCGGTTAATTAAGCAAAGCCAAATCCTAGTTATTGCAATCAGGTACCCTGACAATTAATAGATTAAAAGTTGACTCACCAAATGACAAATTGTACTTTTACAATTTCACTTTGTTAACTTTGCAGAAATGGTCAGTTAATAAAGACTATTGATGGATGAAACTGATAGGGACAATCACATGACGGCTAAAAACAATGTAATGGGAAGTGATTGGTCTGCTTACCACCTTCGTTTGGGCAAATTTTAGGGACCAAATTCAAGATCAGCCCTACGTAAAAAGAAAGCTCAATTTTGATTTCGAATTTCAGGTAGTCCTAATAATTTCTCTTAACCCCACTACCGTTAACGTCCAAGAATAGTCATATGTAAGATTTAGCAAAAGAATAGATTATTTACATTTTTCGAACCTGGAGGATACGGCGACTTCAAAAAATTCAGAATGTTTTTGAAGAGGAACCTATCTACGTATAAAATGAGCAGATTATCTTTACGCCACATGTAATCATGTCCAAAGGTAAGGAATTATTTTCACGATCAATAACGGATTGTAACGCTTATCTTGACAGTTACTTTAATAAAGGGCAATTAGATTTATGTGGTCAGAATATCATGATAATTTTAAAAAATAATGCACTGTTTCCCTTACCTAAAGCAATATTTTCGTTGATCGTGAGCATTTGTAGTTACTCCGTTACATAAACTATCATTTAATACACATCACACGTCGACGGTTGATTTCAGTGATATCCTCATCAGACAACTTAACCAATGACGACTGACTACGTGTCCAGAATACACCAGGGACAGGAAATATTCTTGCACACCGCGACTTGATGCATGGGGAGCTTTAAATTAATCTATGTCGGTGGGTTGGCCCGAAGGAACACTAACAACTATTAAACACAGAGTAATCATAGAGATTTTGCTACAGCCACTAGTAATATTCTTAACATTTTATTGTAATCTAAATTGTACTCTGAACTGCGTATTGATGCCGAAACGTGACTAAACTGTGTTTTGAGGGACATTTCTGTTAGGTCCACGTAAAACCTAGTGTTCCGGCATCGTAACCCGTTCAAATTAAAAAAATTATCAAGAATTTATTCAATCACAGGACTCTGAAATAGTCAAATCGAGAAAATTCGATTACTTCTCCACAGCAAGGTATGCGCACGACATTAGATGAGGTGTTGAAGGTTTGTTTAAGTTGGACGTGTGTACGCACGCATAATGCCACAATAAGTAGTGCAAGTATTATCAAAAATAACCCTCAAAATAATTGACCAACAATGCGCCTATTACACCAAGCACTGGCGATGTGTATAATAGGCGGACAAATCAAGATGGTTGGCCAACAGGACTAATGAAGGGATATCAACTGATGGGAATGCAGAGATAATAATTCAGAAATAACCGGGTTGCCAATGCTCACTTGATAGAACCAGGAGTCAAGTTCCAATCAGGTTTGGCAGCAAGTTCTATATTCTTAATCTTGAGAACATATAAAGTGGGCTTATTTACACACTTGTTACGCAGTGATTCACCAAATTTGAGTGCCTAGTTTATTTATTTCAAATATTAAAATATGGGGGGAAAGAGAGCGGAATATTTAGTGTAATTTTCCAGAGAAATGCAAAATAACAAGCCCCACGGACCATCGCCAAAGTGGCCCATATGTATTGTTGCCGTAGTCGACCGAATAAAAGTTATTACAGTTCAATTGTGCTAGAGGTTCAATATGTATAATGTGCAAATGTTGGCTCACCGTAGAGTAAAGAAGTATAGCTCCCAGCAGAAAGATTTCTAAAAACATCCAATTTGCCGCTTTGAACACCTAAAAAAGTACATGAATTGGACATAATTAGTCAATGGAAGGTGGAAAAACTTTCCTAAGTTGGTTGGAAATACACTGCAAATTTTGCGAGAATAACAAAAATCAGGTTCGTATATTCACATGTCAAAAGTGGAATTTGTAAATTTCCAGTTTCAGCCCACTGATTTTGCCTGAATTCTTGAATAGCATGGGCAAGTAAACCCATGTGAAGGGAGTGGCAAGACCACAGTTAGAATGCATTTGCTTTTGTTAAGACTCCGTCAACAATTGGCCAAGAAAAAGCAACGACGTTTGTGAGAAAACGCCCTCTACATTAGGCCAAGAGAGTGCAGTAAGTCAGGCGCATGACGAATGAGTATTCGATAAGTTAAGGTATAGCAAACGGACTTGCAGGGAATCAGCGATGTAATTTTAGCAAAGCGAATTTCAGCTTGAGTGTGAACTGGGCAAGATGACCACTTAAATCATCACGGATTTGAAAGACGATTTAGTAAATTCTGTCAAAGAAGTGGCCTGAATTCCTCGTTTGACTTAGGTATCATCGATGTGTTTGACTGAGGCGATGTGCCAATCGTTTACATAGCTGTTCTGTACATGAAAGCCAGTGAAATTGATTGAATAAAGTCATATGAGCAGCTTAGTTAACATAATTTTGGGCACTTAACCAATGGAAGCCAACTGTACTTGTAGGAATAATTGCTAACTTTGAAGACCCATGTAAAATTAGGGAGAGCTAGTTGTTTTTTGAATCCTTTATCGATTTTTACACAGTGCTTCTACATATATACGCGACACCCCCAGTAATAAAGTCAACTCTCGGAATCTGAGCATTGTAGTGGTCTCACGCAACTAGTTTTGTGAATATTTTTTACAATGCCATCAAAAGATTTCAGAAGATAGCACACGCTTTTCAACCATCCTAGAATAACACACAACTCCCTTTCTGTGTATTTCTAACATGAAAGTTGGATCGATAGATTTGCATTAGTGAGAAATTTACGCGCACTGAATTCTTCACTTCCACATGGGTTTCATTCCATGCTGTCAAATAACATCGGCGTGGGTCGCACGAATTCAACTTGCGTTGACTTAACTCAGCAAAGTAATGATGGTCATTTATAGTAGCGAATTCTTGTTACATGTATTTGCCCCTAAAATCCTTTCTAAATCTAAAAAGCCTTAATTTCAAGGGACATGATTCCTGATTTCCAGACCTGAGCTATTTTGAAAATATAATTTTTAATGGAATAAGCTAAAGCTTGGAAGAATTACACAAATGAGAAAACGCACATAACTAAGCTTGAACTAAGATTAACATTATCATCAAATCAGTGGCATCAGAAATCACCAAACCTACACGGGTTCGACGGACCCGAAACGAGAGAATTCCAAGGAAGAGACAAGTTGTGATGGAAAAGGTCTGGATAGCGAGGGGAATGCCTCGAAGAAGGTGCATGTTGTACTCGACGCCACATGGCGTGCCGGATGTACAATTGGGACAGTCGGGAGGACAGACTTTGCAACTCATTCGATCCAGCCCCTTGATCTTGCAGCCTTCGCTATCACTGCCACCTTTGTGCTGGTTTTGTATCAACAACTCCGCTGGATAGCCCTAACACACAATTTGCATTGAAGGTATTACCACAAAAGGCAATGGTTTTTGCTTCGCTCAACTAGTCGTGTAAAACAGGAAGTTTTTATTTTGGGGTACCAAATATCACAGAAGTTTTAACATTTAAAAGAAATAGACCTTAATTAAAGACCAATAGAAACTTGTATAGCTTCCTGCCTTCAATTGGTGGTCTACCTGGTATATTGCATTGGCATAAGCAAATTAACCGGTAACCACTAAAGATAACGGTTGGGATTAAAGTTGTTTGATCATTAGATGTTTTAGCTGGTGAAATATATTCACTAAATACCACCGCAAGGTAGTGAGGCTAGCTTTGACCACTAGTGATTTTTAGCGCATACACATTGATAAATGTGAAGTTCGATGCCAAAAAAATACATACGTTTTCGGGACGGTCCGTGTAGAATCCGGGCTTGCATTGACAAATGTAATTTCCAACATCGAAAGGCCATGGTCGATATTGTCGGTAAAAGCACTATATGGACAAAAAATTCACCGTGCAGCAGACTCGAGATTGTAAAACTGCACGATTCAAATCCATCTAGCTTTATGGTAAAGTTACGTTACACCTATATGTTTCAATATAGATACCCTTAAAGGACACTTTGTTAACATGTGACAGTATGCCATGGACGTGTAGTTTTGCCTGGTTTTATTCAGGTAAGGACAATCCCAGCAGAGATGCGTACCAAGAACTAAGGTCTAAATTGTTTGTCACGCACCTGCGTTGTACTGTGTCTACAATAGTCCAGCCCGGCTGCACAGAGATCAAGGGTAAGATTTCGAAGATCAAACTCGAAAACCAGACTAAAAGTAAAAAAATTTTTAATTTAAGGCACATCAACAACACTCGTTTCATCCATCTTTGGCAATGAGCATAATTGTTTCAAAAGAGAAAAGTGATTTGCCTTTACTAGTGCTACAACATGGTGCACATCTGGATAAGGTTGAAATGAGTGGTACACAATCATGCAATCCAAAATAAATTTAGCCAACTAACTCAATGCATTCTCTTAACACGAGTTAAGTACATACGTTTTATGCTTGTGTTCAACCAGACCCAAAAATTCGATTAAGTCGAAAAAGCTATCAGTAAAGCACATATTTCTGATAAAGCATACAATTTGACGTTAGGCTAAACATTAACACATGCCTCGGTGACGAAAAATTATGTGCTTAAAACGATGAAGTAGTGATCTGATAGAATTTTCTACTTAAATGACAAAAGCAGACAGAACATTGCATAAAACAGACACAAAAGTGGCAGGTAGTACGCACATAACCACGAATACTAACCAGGAATCACCGCACATGAAAGCTGCCTTAAATGTGGCTCATCTTGCAAATCCGGTTTCATGAATCCACGGCTAATGTAACATTCACTTTGCCAGTGACAGGCCAAAATGACGTCTAAAAGACTACAAGGTTACCACCTTATCTCCTAGGTACCTTTTGCGCATTAACACGCCTCATTAATAGAATAACCATGCGGGAAATTCCTATGCGAAATTGTCAGCACAGCAACATTAACAGGGCCTTTATCCTTTAAAAACATCACGCACCGTGTGGCCACAAGGTCACCTGTTGTCCAGTTTAACTGTAAAAACAGCCGAAGAAAAAAGTCGACGGACATGCGACTCACGCTCTTGGTGGTTGGGGAGTCGTGCTGATAGGGTTTCTTGACCTTCAGGATGAATCCCTGAAGGGTTCCCTCCTCCACAGTGAAAATATCATATGAAACCGTATTAATGACTATCATTTTGCACTCGTTTGTGGCGACCTAAACCCAGAATGTTTCGAGGCGAACAGAGTTTATGAGAAGAAGCGCCAAAAAAACCTCTATCAGTTCATGAATCACGGTGACTAAAATAACCTCAGATAAGTCGGAAAGCTTCAAAATTAGGCTCCCTCTTACTTGTTTACGCTAGATAAATGTCTGTACAGACTCGGTTAAATAAACATGGTCGATGTAAGTTCTAGAAGGCTCAAATAAGCTCATCCATAAGAAGCGATGTACACACACCACGCCCTCTACCATAACTTTACTGGGCTGGATTTAGGCTCACTAATGGTATTGGTGTGGTGCAGTGTCGAAGCGCCGTGACACGGCAAAAGGCATCTGAGTGTAAAAGTGTCAAGTAGACTAATTCTGCTGCGTTAAATTGTCACATTTTTATCGAACAAATGAGTTGTTGTCATTTTATCAGCCTTGCTCCCCCTCCCTAGAAGACTTCATACAGAGCCTGAAAGTGTCAGTGAAAGCTTTTCAAAGTCGGTTTACCAAAAGCTATTTTGCATCTGTGACTTGTTCTTGGCTTTCATTGATCCCAGCATTCAGGTACTCGCTTAAAAAATTGCAACAAACTCTGCTTTTTACCAGAATCATTGACATATTTATAATACTACTTTTCAGGTCCTCTTATATGCAGACAACCTAATAATTCTAATTTTTTTATTCAGGTTTATTTTAAAATGTGAATAGGGTCATGTCACCAAGAATACGCAATCTTAAATGTAATTTTGACCCCATTTCAAGTAAGATTGCTTAATAGGATCAACGTTTATGATGTTAAGATACTTTTCACAATAGACTTGGATAAAAGGTTACCCGTTCGACGCTTCCTATCGCAAAGTAACCACCTGATTGCTCAATGTCTTACCTGAAAGTCTCCATAGCGGCAGTCTCTAAAGTACACTGAAAATCTGTCATATCGAACTTAGTCATTCTATTGCTTTGATTGCTGAAGAACGTGAGCAATGGTGTTATTAAAATACCAGCAATGAAGCATGCCAAACTTCTTCTATTGGTGTTGCTTTTCCATGCTGACCGATTGATACTCGTTTGAATTGTAATTAACTACGCGTTGACTGATATAACCCCCAGTTCCATTATCTACGAATTTGTTGCTTAGTAAATTATTCCAGAGTTGATAAGAATTACCAACTTATGCTCAATCCTAAACATAGAACAGTACGAATAATATCAGAACCATGGTAAATAGTTACGGTTTCCTAACGCCAAGTGAAACTGACAAGTAATTTTAATATGAATGCATCAAACAGAAGCTGACATCTGGTAAAAAGCACTGATGCGCCTAATTTATCACAATATTGCATTGAAGATACTTTTTATCTTAAATAACCCAATAACAATAAAAAATGTAATTTATACATCAATATTGGTTATAACGATCATATTTAACACAGAGGAAGCTACAGCTGTACATAAAACTGAATTCTGCTATGATGTTATACCTGAAATAGGACGCTTTAGTAAAGCCACTAGAATCCAGGCCTTGGACGCTGAGACTGTGACCTGCTCAAAGCTTTGCGGAGCCCCCCTGATGGAGCAGATTTAACAAGTGTGTTTTTGTCAGAAGCCCGTAGAGCAGTTTTTCACGAACTCACAAACACACAAACTCATCACGAACGGTTACAGATTATTGATGAAAGGGCCACTTTTAAAAATGATCATTTGTCATAAAGAAATTCACAAGAATATATCGAAGTACAAAGTCCAAAAATGGGACAAATGTTATCCATGCTTCAGTGCTTTAATACTAAAGATCCCAACTAGACAATAACAGTTAAATGCTTATTCAATCTGAAATGCTTGTGATAAAACAAAGTTTTTTCATTAAGAAAAGCGTTTTTATCAGAAAAATAATTAAGGATTGTGAATAAAAATGATTGCCATTTAGTAGTATTCGCATTAGTGAGGTCAAAATAAAGTTTAAGACCTCTTAAAATGACTGAAATTAAGCCAAAGTTCATTAGCTAGGGCAGTTTTTAAAACGAATTTAGTTCTACATGCCTTCGCACGTGTTGGCGATTGGGTCCACGTAACGTAACTTTTGCTTACCTAAGAGACTTCGTGTGGGGAATAGGGAAGATCAAATGAAGCTGTATTTTTCGGCCGGCTACGGTACATCCAAGATTACAATGTAAAGGGGCCCAGAGGCCAAGCATCTGATTAACAGAGGAGATTGGTTGGAGACGGGCACCTTCTAATACCTCAGTCGTTCGTGTGCACAAGTTACTCGGAGCCACCGAGTTTGGTTGCTGGCTATTTTTTTGTGGTTTTGCGACAAAAATAGCAGGCTCACTGCTGATGCAGATAGCCACACTCTGTACCAAGGACCCCCACATGCGCCCACTTTCCTCTGCGTTTCCAGAGTAGTAAGAGACGGTTTGTATAAATGAACGCAACATGGGCTCTAGGAACAACTTAAAATCCACAGTCACTGTAGTTCCTTCAAAAGTCATTGGTCCTTTTGTAGACAGCCAGCTAGTTGTGAGCTCTGCGAGTGAAACTGCACGAGCAATATCACGCTTGTATGAATTTTGGAGTATTTCTGGTGTGATCACTTCTCGCAGTAAAGCTTCATCATTAGGATTTAGTGGCAAGAGGTAGGAGAGATTTTTCTGAAGCAAATGATCAGCTTTTGGCTCTGATGAAAACGGTTCTGGACAATCAGAGGTTGGACTGTGGAGATTCATTGAGATTATCGTGAGGAGACGTCGTGAACGTGCTCGAGAAATTGTTTGGTCCATACCGTAGACTGGAATGATTAATGACGTAAAAAGATGAAAAAGAAATACATATTTTAGATCAAATCCCTTCCTTAGTTGAACGAACATTTTGCAACTGAAACACTGCCGTGGTGAGAAAGAAGCTTCAGAGACGAAGACAGCAGCAGTGTCATGACTGCTCCATTCGAGCAGTTATTTGGCGCTCGCACGCTTGATTTGGGAGAGGGGGTTGGTAGTTTAGACTGAAATTTTCCGATTCTTTGTTCAACCAATCAGCTGGTTGGCAAAAGGAAAGGCTAGCCCCGGCGACCAATGAAAACTTGCAATATTATTGCATGCTTTCTGAACTGGTCGATAAGATGCAAAAGGGAAGCGCGTACTTTCCAGTCCCAACGCAAAGCCTGCTGGTGATGGGGCTGTCCGCGGGGTCTGACTCGTATGCCAGGGAGCACCTCGTCCTTATCGAACAGGTCTGCACTCTACTGGCGTATAGCCACAAGCATTCCTCGCAAACCTGATATTAACAAGTGTCAGAGGTTTAGGTAACGTCACCTGATGGAGCTTTTAGTGGTATGCTAACAGGCTACAATATCTCGCTAACCCAAGAAGTATGGAATGATGATGCCTTGGATAACTGTTGATGACTGTCCGTACTTTTATGGGTCCTCTTACCGTTTAATGACTGCCCAAACAGAAGCTGTGAAAGATAAGTCAGTAATTCTCATGCAACCTTTCGAACAATTTTGCGTTCGTTGTTAGTATGATCCACGCATATTGCGTCGAGTAAGCTAGTCTAAATGGATGTCTTCAAAACACAGCACTAAATCTTATGCAACTTAGGTCTCTTTGGTTGCTCCTATTCCACGTCACATGGGTTAAAGTGGCTCGGGATCCATGTAAACGTATCCAAAATTTTTGCGCTAATAACTATGACAAGACACGATGTAAGAATCTTCTCTCCATCTCGAAAATATCACAAACCAAGAAAAGTGAGCAGGGGTACAACTAGCGCCAGGATGCACACATAGCAACTTTACAAATTGCAAACAGTGAAATGACAAAATTAACCCTATTTTAGTTGGGTTCGACTTCTGCCACTTTCTTCATGCATTATTTACCAAAAGTTAAAAATTGATATGCGAATTGCAGATTGTATTTCTGCCTAGTTTATAATGGCTACATTTAACATTAAAACGCGCCCCACCACAAGTATTTAAATGAGTATTTCTATTACGCGTATTCGGGTCACTGGGGTTTTTTTCATCATGATTTCAATAATACACAATTTTAATTGAGTCGA